CTGCTGGCATTTTTGAAGTTATTGAAAAGTAGCTGGGGAATTTTGAGGAAGGGGAAAGAAAAAAGATAAATGGCTCAGCAACTCCTTGCTCACCATTTCACCAATTAAATCTGCACCCCCCACAGATATTTTTATTTTTAAGATGTGGTCATGATTTTCAAATGTTGAAGTTTCTGTGATCATGGCCATTAAAAAAAATGAAACTACTATGAGCTGAAAGGTTAACCTTGTGTAATGTATTGTCTGATTATGTTTTCCTATACTAAATAAAGACCTGAAAAGTTACTCAAGGCATGTAATTTCTAGTTTTAAAAAAATGAATGTCTGGGATACTGTAGGCTTGAACAGCTGCTTAATCCTAGTACATTTATTTCCAAATCATTTTTCCAGAGGAATTGGTCAAGTTATTTGATTTGTCAAGAGTGTATCTAAATTACACATTTTTAGCACTTTGAGGCTAAGCCTCCATCTGAAAAAATTATGTGATTTGTAGTTCTGTTTAATACTTAAAATTCTCCCCTGTAGTTCAGAGTAGTACACTATAGCTATGTAGCAGAACATTTTAATAAATCCTAGGATTCCATGGGACGGAGCCACATCAGTTAAAGTGAGGTCAAACGGCTATAGCTGTGTATTGTAGGTACAACCTTTGGGAGAATCCAATTGTCTGCTTTTATGACTCTGTATATGGGCACCAACCAAAAGAAGTCATTGTAGTTCTTTCTGTTTATAACAAGCATTGGCAACACAGATGATTTTCTGCTTCTGCTCTGATGAGAATTGAATTTGCTAAATGTTCTGCTTCAGGAACATCCTCACAGCTTGTAATTTTCCCCATCTATCCACCAACTTTGTTATGACATGTTTTACTCACTTGCCACATCTCCACCTCCAGACACCCTCCCTCTGCTTTCAAGTTCCCACTTCCTTCTTCCTGTACTATTGGGAGAGGGCTTTAAAAAAAGGAACATGAAGCATGTCCATGGAGAGATAAGCAGATGTAATAATAAAGGTACAGTAGTTGATTTGTTATACTCATGTCTTTGAAGGCTTTCCTGCTGTTGTGCATGTCCAGTAGTTCAATTCTGGTATTCTAAAAGATTTACATAATGTATATTAAAGTTGCTTTTGGACCATCATGCCAGGTTCTACCATGCTGTGCCCTTCTGGGTAGGTCTCATCTCTTTCCTTCATCTTTCTGCACAACTACTGTGGCATAATGCTTTTTCATTACATTACATTTTAGATCGGTTTTGAACCATCATCAGCACCTTATTCTTCTACCATTCTGATATATACTTGATAATATATATTCATGGTAGGCCCCAGCATGCAGCATCACTCCATCCACTTTTGTCCTTCACTCTCATGGGGTGCCTTGGTTTACTTACTATTCTACCACATTGTCATATGTCTTCAAACACACAGCCACTGATTAACAGCAGGAGCTCACCATACACTGGAATAGACACTAGAAACTGGAATGCCGTAGGTGGAGGAAAGGAAAATATGAATCCAAAAGGTGAACGTTCACAGATGTGTTACATTCCAGCAGAATATAAACCCATTAACATCACAAAATATAATGCAAAGTCTATCTGCAGGGGAAAATGAGGATCATGTAAAAAAGTGCAAGAAAGCAAACAATTGTCACTGCTCTGTTTAACACTTTCATTACAAAATTGTGTATTCTTGGTTTTGATATCAAGCTGGAAAATATCGGGACAATTTGTCCATCATTTAGATAAGAAGTACTCACTAGTAAGATCCAGCAGTATAAACGGTGAGAAAGAGACTGTCTTGGTTCCTGTTTTGTTTGCTGATGCATACTCTGATACCTGGAACAGAAGAACTTCACCTCACAAGTGAAGCAAATTAATTCTAAGTCTTGGAAGATGGTATAAACGAGTTGAGAACACAGAGAGGGGCAGGGGCGTAGTTAGGCCTGTGCTCACATGCTCCTAGTGCCTGGTGTCCATTGGTCTGGATGCAAGCCTTTTTCTTTATCTTAATTGACTTGTAGGACCCAATTTTCAATGGGGATTATAGTTGAGGAAGGAACGATTAGTTAACTGTCCCCTTTGTAGCACACTCTCCATGTCAATTAGGCTTAGGAAAAAAAAATATACATTGGCAGCAATTGTATTTTTCCTAATTTTAGTCACCAAAAGGGAGGGAAATTTAAGTTGTGAATGAATATCTACTCTTCAATATTCACTAAGTCCAGTTTCTCTAAGTCCAGCCTTGTATTCCTTTATGGTGGGGTTTCCTAGTTTGGTTTGCTTGTGCTTTCTTTCCTCTGTATGTATCTGTGAGGAGATCACCAGCCCGTGAAAACAAAACTTCAGAAAATGCAAAACAAAGAGAGGGAGAGAGAGACATCCTTCCACCCACCCCTGCTGTCTCGCCCTTCCTCTGTCCCTCTTCCTGTTTCCTTTTGACTCTTCTAAACTATCCAGTCTTTCCTCCACCCATCCCTTCCTTCTGCCCTACATTCACCCCAAGGTGCCTAATTCTTCCTCCGGTCCAGCTCCCCACGATCTTCTCCCTTCTCCACTCTCCTCTAACTTCTCTGCCTTACATTCTACCCTCCACCCCATAGCTGGTACAGAGAATCCCACAACAGAATTGTGCACCACTTTGTTTTTATTTATGAAGGTAAAGATTGATGACTAGGATAATTAACTGAAAGAGGCTTGCTTACATTTCAGAGTAGGATCTGTGTGGGAATTGGAAAATTAATTGCAAGTGACCCTTGATTTGTCCTTGGCTTGCTTTTGCATTAGCACTCAGTCAAATGTTTGAAACTCCATCTGGGTCCAAACATTGCCATTTTAAGGCGAGTCAGTGTGAGAAAGTGGTCCATGAAAAATATTACCAATATCTTTTTTGCATTTCTCATACTAGATTAATGGCATTTTTGGAAAAAAAAATATTAGTTTGAAATGTTTTGGGGCAGGATGTAAATTTAATTGAATAATCTAGTTTATGAGATTATTTGGATCAGAAATTAATTGGTTAGCTTTGCCTTCTGTGAAAATGAAAACAAATCTTGGTAATTATTTCTAGATATGTAATACATAGACATCTCATACGCAAATTATATGCAGACTTGATGGTGCTGAGGCCTCAATCTTTTAAACATCTGACAATAATACCCTCAGCAACCAGGGCAAGAATTTTAAAGGACATGAGCACCTTCAATCTGTGCCATGTTTATTGTTTATATCTGCATCCCACTAACACTGGTCTGAAAAACTGAGATCTGTGAGCATGTCGTTTTACAAACGTTATCCTCATACAGTAGTAGGAATAATAGGTGGATTAGGCTAAGAGAGTGGCTGCCAAGAAAGCTTTGGGGCAGATTCGTGTACGTATTTGGGTCTTCCCCATCAAACTCTTGACTCTTTATCACAGCAATATTAAAATTGTACAATAAAAGTTGTGACTACCAGGTTAACAAGTGTTTTAAAACTCATGATTGCACACCTTATGCTAGCAGGACTGACCCAAGACAAGGGTCAGGTAAGCAAATAAGTGGTACCCCTCCCACATTTATCTGCAGAGTACCTTTAATCAGAAAAAGCTATTTTTAAAGCATGAAATCCCACTAGTACCTCTCCTCACCTCGTTGATAAAAATACAGTGACAACAAAATAAATAAAAACTGGATACCCTTCCATGGTCCCCTAGACCTGTTGCCTGAGATAGAGGTGACCTGGCACTAACCAGATCTCGAGCACCTTCCAAAGAACTGCCCAAAAACGTGGTTCTTCCAAGTGCAGGAATGATGAGTGGGTGAAGGCGAAACCAACCTGGGCTGTACCACATCACACCTGGTGGTACAGGGAAGGAGGTCTCTGAGATCATTACCTTGGGAAGGCATAAAGGGCAGTCCAGTCCCTCACCTCCTGAATTACCTTTCCAAGCGCCCTCCTCTCACTTTGGTGTCAATGACCGAAGAACAAGGGGGGGAATGGACGAATGCTCTCCTCCCTCCTCTGACATGCTTGGCATACTTGTCCTCTTAATTTATTCCTGACCCCCAAACCCCAGACAGCCTGACCTTCTCTTCTTTGTTATCCTTTCTTGTAAAACCTTTTTTTATGGGGAGGGCAACACTTCAAGAGGATTGAGAGTTAACTTGTTTTCATTGTGTGGGGCGAAGTGGGGGGGGGAGAAGAGAAGGGAAGGGCGAGAAAGCAGCGACACTGAGAAGGTCGGTTAGCATTGGCTTTGCCTTGAAATTAATGTTGTTTGGTGAGGTTTATTTTTACAACTGATTGCAATGTTGCTTTTATGGCTGGAGGAGAAAAGTTTTCTATCTCCTCGCCTCTCCCCTCCCCTCGTCCAAACGGCGCCCCCCCCCTTCGCCCGCTTTTGCACGACTGGAGTCCGACATTCTTCCTTCCCAACATCAAAAAACGCAAAACAGAAGAGTTATTTGTGAGGGAAGGAGCTGAGATCAAGAGCTGCTTCTTTGTGTTTTGGGCTGGTGCGGCGGAGATTGCCTTCCAGCTTTTGAGGGGAAACGGCCTTAACTTAATCATATTCACATGACAAACCTTCTCCCAAATAAAGGAGAAGTGGGTGGGTGGTGGATGGGTGTGTGTGTGTATGGGGGGGGGGAGGACCTCGGAGAAGTGGGAGAGCGGCAGCTTGTCCTCAGGCAGAGCGAGCGAGAGAGCGAGCAAGAGAGCGGGCGGAGTGTGGGGGGGGGGAACGGAGAGACGAGACGCTGTCAGACTTAGGGGAGGGGGCAGCTTTTTTTTTCCCCCTCAGACGAGCAATTTTAACCCCATCCGAGACGCCGGTCCAGTAAAGAGGCAAAAGGCTGCCAGTTCGTTCGCAACAAAGGATCGGGACTTCCCTCTTGGCGTCACTGGGAAGCTGAGGCGCGTTAAGTCCTCCTCAGGAAACAGGTTTTCCTCTCTCGCGCTTAGCTGGTTCGCGCCCTCTCTCTCTCTCTTCCCCCCCCAATCGGGTTCCCCCCCCTCTCTCTTTTCCTTTTTGGTCCTTGCAAAGCGCCGCTCTGCCGAAGCACCTCATGCTCTGTGCAGCGCGGCCGCCCAGGAGGCAGGATGGTGGCGGCTCCGCGGGATCCGTGCGGCGGCGCTAGCCAGGTGCGGTGCCCGGGTGCCCGCCGTGCCTCCTTCTTTCTCCTGCTGCCGCTCCTCCTCCTGTTGCTGCTCCCGGAGGCCGGGCGCGGGTTGCGAGTGCAGCACAAGTTCGTCTCGCCCACCCTCACCAACAACTTCGCTCTGGATGGGTCCGGGGACAAGATCTACCTGGCGGCCGTCAACCGGCTCTACCAGCTCTCGGGCCCCAACCTGACCCTGGAGGTGGAAGAGCAGGTGGGCCCGAAGGAGGACAACCCCTTGTGCCACGCTCCGCAGCTGCCCCAGGCCACCTGCGAGCACGCCAAGAAGCCGACCGACAACTACAACAAGCTGCTGCAGCCGGACCCGGAGCAAGGCATCCTGGTGGTCTGCGGCTCGGTCTACCAAGGCTTCTGTCAGCTGCGCAGCATGGACAACATCTCGGTGGTGGCCGTCGCCTTCCCGCCGGGGAGCGGGGCCGGGGCCGGGGCCGAGGGGGGCGACCAGGTCACGGTCTTCCCCAGCATGCTGAACGTGGCGGCCAACCACGCCAACGCCTCCACCGTGGGCTTGGTGCTCAGGCAAGGCGGGCAGGACACGAGGCTGCTGGTGGCGGCCACTTACACGGGCTTGGGCAGCCCTTTCTTCCCGCGCAACGCCAGCCTGGAGGACCACCGCTTCGAGAACACGCCCGAGATCGCCATCCGCGCTCTCAACACCCGCGGGGACCTGGCCCGCCTCTTCACCTTCGACATCAACCCCTCCGACGACAATATCTTCAAGATCAAGCAGGGCGCCAAGGAGCGCCACAAGCTCAGCTTCGTCAGCGCCTTCCTCCACCGGGGAGCCCACCCGCCGC